GGGATGGCCACAGGGCACAGCCATGTCTCCCCACGGCATCACCGCTCCTCCTTCCCCACCTGCAGCTGCCTCCCCTTCTCCATCTTCTCCCCTGCCGGCGCCCAGTGCAAGCAACTGGCCATCAGCCTCGCCGCCTTCCTCGGCGTCTTGGTGGGAGCCCTGGCGCTGCTCTGCCTCCTGCTCACCACCGCCTGCCTGACCTTGCGCCTCTGCCGCCGGCGCCACCACCGGCACCAGGGGTGAGCCATGGACCCGCGCAGGGGTGGGCGCTGCGAGTGTGGCAGGAATGGAGGTTGGGGATCAGGAAGAGTTTTGCCAGCCCTCAAAACTGGTGCAAAATCCATCTCCAGAAGGTCCACCACTGGTGGAACCCATCTGGCCCAGGCAGGGGGAGCCTGCCCTGGGGAAGGGCCTGAGCCAGGTGGTCTTTTAGCATTTTCCAGCCCTTATCCCAGTCATCTGCTGCTCAGGGGTGCAATAACATCAGTGGGTTGAACACTACCTTCCCTTTTCCCCCATGTCAGGGAATATTTACATTTCTTCCTCTTCTCACACGGTGCTCGGTTACAGACGGGCTTCCTATTTAATTTTAATTTGAATACCATCCAAATTATTTCCACTGTAATTCACGTTGCTCTGGAAAGAGTTGGTCTGGAGCAAGAAAAAAGCAGTTGCAGGGTTGGACCTTGCTCTCTTGCAGAGCAGGGAGTTAACAGATGGCTGACAAGGTGCAAGGCTGGAGTGGAAGCGCCAGCATCTCCTTCCCTCCTCCCCAGCCCTTGGTCCTGGCATGGCATCCCCGCCTGGGGGAAGCTTAGCGCCCCAGGCCCCCCACACTGGTGGGAGCTGTGTCCTGCCCCTGCTGCCGGCTCCCTGCCGGCACTGGAGCCAGGGCTCTCTGGGAAGCGCCTCTGTTCATTTGCACTTGTTGCAAGGTGAGAAAGTGCGTGTGCACAGCAACTGGCGCTTTTCGTCCTCTCGTAGCCTCATCTTGCCCCCACACTCAGTCACTGCTCCCCACTCCCATCCAAGCAAGGCGCCAGGATCAGGCAGGGGCTCTCCTGGCCCCCCCTGAGCCCTTTCTGCTCCCCACCTCCTAGGGCCAAGGAGACCTTCTGGAGGCCACGGTCCTTCTCCTGTGAGTACATCCCTGCGAAACTCCCCCACCCCTTCACCCTGGTCTTCTTCGAGCTCTGCTCATCTTCCCTGCTCCAGCTCTGACGACAGCAGGAGAGCGAGCAGAGTCCACCTACTCCCACTCCCCAGAAAGGCATTGGGAACCACAGCTCCAGGCCATCGACCCCTCAGTCCAGGTCTGCCCGAGGGTTATTGTCTTCGTGGAGGGTTGGGATGGGGGGCTGTGAGCTGGGGACTGATGTCCTGGCCCCATGCCTCAAAGATGCTCGGGAGCTATCCTCGTCCCGGAGTATCACGGATGCTTTGGCTTGCATTGGGGTCTGCGCTGCTGTCTGAGCTCATTGCAAAGAGCAGAGCCCGTGCAGCGCCGACAGCATGGCGTGGCCTGTCCCTCCTTTACAGATAAGGATCCAGAGACCCCACGTCAGGCCTCCAAGCCATCCCCCCCAGCAGCCCTAGCCTGCCACCGGTCCTGCCCCGGTGCCTCTGGGCTCGCAAAGGAATCAGCTGCTGCGGCCGGCCCCGCTGCTCGCTCTTCGGGTCTCCGGCAACGGCGCTCGCATGGAGGCAGAGGACGGGCACCTGCCTTTTGGGGCCTGGTCTTTGTGGGAGGATTCACTCTGGAGAAGGTGCTTTTTTTGAAGGAAAAATGTGGGTTTATGTTGGGTGGCCAAAGCGACAGGATTTCACCTTCCCTGAGGACCTGCAGAGGCAACTGCGACAGTCCTTGAGTGAGTCTGCACCGGGGTGTGCCCTAGTGCAATGTAACTGGACCCAGCAGAACTGCTGATAGAAGACTCAGGTGGGGCAAGGCAGGGATTGTAACCCATTAGGAATAAAATAGAATAAACCAAAAATAATGACATGCTGCTGAGTAAGTTGCCTGCACTCTGCGGTGCCCATGCATCAGACCCGCTTCCCTGTTGCCGAGCTCTCGAGACCCTGCTTTCTGCTGGTCCCGCTCACAGGGCCAAAGAGAAGAAGGATGTAGGTTTTTTTGTTGCTCCATCCCCTCATTCCCCCTGCAAAGCTGCAAGTCTCCCTCACCGCTCCCCCCAGGCACCACTCACAGTGGCTCAGATCACACAGGTCGGGCCGTGGTCCCCGCAAACGCCCTGTGGCCCTTCACCCCTGCTGAGGGAAGATGCTGCGCCCAAGGAGGGTGCGTCAGACCCCGGCAGACCCCAGCTCCAGCCCCGCTGCCCCAGAGCCCGGCTCAGCCACAGCCCAGACGCTCACACCCCCAGCACCGGCATCCTGCAATGCCACTGTCCCCAGCCTGCCTCCACCAC